CACACACACACACACACACACACACACACACACACGAGTGTGTGTGTTTTAACCTAAAATGCCAAACAATAAAAAAGATAGGGAACATTTGATTATCAAAAAATATGCTGATATCAAAAGATTGATTACAATACCAGTTGTTTATCAACTATCTGGACTTCATGAATTAGATTTTTTTTATTTGATGTTGAGTCAAAATGACTGGCAAAAAAAAAGTTTTTAAATTTTGTTTGTACTGACTTTTATCACAGATAAACTAAAACAAAAGCACGAGTAAAAATGTATTTAATTTACTTGATTCTCTACAAGTCATGACTTTAGTCACTGTGATTAACAATATTGACAATAACAAAAATTGGAAACAAACAAAAAAGATGAATACAATTAGTTGGATGATTTCATCAAAACAGGTTATGTTACCTTGAAGCATACTTACGTATGAGCAGTATGTGAGCAAATTACTCAAACTCATCAGTAAACTCAACTTAAACACATCTTAAAAATACAAAACATGAACAATGTGTACAAAAATATTTTAAGCAGCATGATTCAAATTTGAATGAAAGAAAACAATATTGCATAAATTTCCCCATTTTTCAAAATAAATAAATGCTTATTTTTAATGTGACATCACAAATTTAGACTTTTAGAAAAAATTGCAAGAGTCATGAAATCAGGAAAGAAGTCTAAATTAAATGTAAAATTATGGCAACTTATTTTGATGTAATTCCCAAAAAATCTGGAGTTTGGCTGAAAACAACTTTGCACTCAACAAACAAAATTAATCTTTTTTTAATATACTTTAAATGCTGAATCATATCTTGGGAGAACCTACAGATCATGTGGTTTTAAAATGTCCAAATCACCAGACAAAGTGACATACATGGTATATAAACACATAGAAAGACACGAATGATCAAGAAAAAAAGGCAGACAATAAAAAGTACTGTCAGTACAACAACCCCAGTTCCTAGCAAGTTGGGATGTTGTGTAAAATATATAAAAAAACAGATTCAAGGATTTGCAAATCTCATAAATACAATGGAACAAAGAAAAACTAAGAAATTGTAAATTTTATTACGTAATTTTGACTTTGATGGCAGCAACACACAGCCATGTTTTCCACCATGAAGCCCCTCTTCTGTCAATGTCTAGGACCTGAGACAAGCTGCTGACAGAGGAACCAATGCAACCCTATACCATCAGAGAGGCAGGCTTTTAAACTGTGTGCACATTACAGGCCAGCTGGTATCTCCTCTTTAGTAGAGGATGTGATAACTGGCTTCTAAAGAGAAGTTTCAAATTTTAATTGGTCAAACCATAAAGCAGATTTCCAATTCACCTCAGTTTATTTGAAATGAGCTTTGGTCCAGAGAACGTGATAGCATCTCTGGATGGTGTTTACATATGACTTCTTCTTTGTCTGACAGAGCTTTAATCAGCATTTATGGTCAGCACTGCAAACTGTTGTACTTTTTTACTTTTACAGCCTTTTATTTTCTTTATCCAAAAGTTTTTGAGATGTGTTGCTGTCATCAAATTCAAAAGTATCTAATTTTTTCCTAAAAAGTTATAATTCATTCAACCTTTATTTTGACAGATAAATCACATTGAGCCTCAGAGACTGTTTAGACAGGAAAAAAGTAGTGAAAGTGAACACATGTAGGAAACTGGAGGCAAAAAAAAATTCATATCAAACTCTTTCTTCTTGGCTGAGAAGAAAGACTCTGATAATGAAAAAAACACCCCGCACAGACAAGCACATGGTGACGTAGAACATTCTACGACGACGACGACAAGTGGTGAGAATATCCAAGGACGCTCCCTGAGGGAATGTACGAGTTCTGATAAGGATGGAATAATCATCAGTTCCCCCCGGTGAGATCCATAAACATTCTCGAGGGATGTTGGGGAATGGCCAAGGACAACGCCAGAGAGAGTCCAAGAGTCCTGAAATGATGACAGAATATTCAGCTGGTTCCCTCAGGTTGATCAATGGACTTCCTCGAAGGGAGGGAGGGGGGCAGAGCGTCAGATTACAAAGCTTCCAGGCGAACTGAGATAAGGTGGCCTGCAAGGCCCGCCGAGGGAGCCGAATTCAGATGAACAACGTTTGTTTTGGAGACAGGCAGAAGTTTACAGAATTTTATCTGCCTCGAGTCGTTGCTGGTCTCACGTAGATTCCGAAAGGTCCAAATTAAGTGGACACACCACTGATCCGTGCCTCAAGATTTGATCCATCTTGCCAGTGGGTCCTAGGGGCTGCATTTGGCATCCAATTTGCGATCCAGTCCGCTAAGCAATAAAGTCTGGGTGCACATGACACAGCGCAAACCTTCACACAGGCGGCAGCCTGACCAGGCCAGATCAGCTGCGGCCATCTTCTTTGTATGTTGATAAACATGGAACCACATAAATCTAATTATAAGCAATTTTGGCGTCCTCGATCGACAGCAGAGATAGACACATCACATTCCACTTCCTCCAGAGACAGGTCCAGCTGCATACGCGTCGTCCGGGCAGTTCAGCTCGCCCGAAGTTTGTCTCAAAAATTGTGTCCATTGCGTTGAGAGACCAACTGACCAGATCCACAAAATTACGGTTCGGAAGATACAGTATGTAAAGAGAGGCTCAGAAGAAGTTTCACAAGACAGGACAGAGCAGCAAACAACGCGGAGGAGGGAGAGGAGGGGAAAGGCGTCCGCTCTTGGCAAAAGCAAGTGGTGAATGAATGAATAATGGTGACAATGGTCACCAAGTTAGGTCAAATATTAAATATATTTACATTGTAATCAAGGAATCAGTAAGAGAATTACAAATCATTGGATTGTGTTTTATCACACTTTACACAATGTCCCAACTTCTTCTTAATTAGGGTTGTAAAGTTATTAGGATTTAAGCTAAACAAAACTCAAAAGGGGACCTAAATGTTGACAAGTCATTCTTTGTACCTTAATACCATTATATCATCCTGGTGATACAGAAGTTATCTCCATCTTTTTAGTAGCCGAATCTTGACTACTTTCCAGGCACTGAGCCAACGTAACCACACTTCCACGTATTAGTGCAAGCAATCCTGAAAAAATAATCCCTTATATGTACTGCTCTAATCTCAGTGGATTTGATTTAATAATAAGTAGCAAAATGTTCTGGGAAAGTATTAAACCTTGTTTTTTTTGTTTTCATTCCAAAATGTAAATAGCAAAATCAATACATAGCAAAAAAAAAATGATCCAAAGTTGTAGATTTAGTTCATAAGAGTTGTTTAAAAGTATGCTCAGGATCCCCATCAACGGTCCATCAACAGATGCTTTCTTTGTAGCCATCAGGAGCTAAATGTGTCTAAAAAAATCCACTTGAGGTGAAGCCGTGCAAACAAATCCATGTCTTTTATTGACCTCTATATGTGAAAAGGTGAAACAGCTCATTTGTCAGGAAGCCAGCGCAGCAAATGAGACACAGACGAGTAGAAGAGAGGCTGAGAGATGTATAAAAGATGCTCCTCCACAGTCATCAGCATTCTCCTGCAAGGACAAAATAAATGAATAAAAATACCCTCATAAAAATCAAAATATTTAATCAAACTTTACACATCGAATAAGTCAAAGATATTTTTCTTGTTCAGGTGAATCATACTTACAGCATAAAAATTAAACATATTTTTATCCCCTCCCCACACACACACACAAAATGCAAAATATTAGTTTAGAAGTGTATTTTTTAAACGCTTGGATAACTTTTTTCCCACATAATTTGTCTCACAGCATTATCAGATGCCCATGGTTAGATTTTAGCTTGAATATTCTGCATCTTGACATAGAAGACTGAGAAGCTGACCTGTGAGTGATAAGAATGGCAGGACTCAGGGCGTCTACGAATCTTCTGAAACCTCATCCGGTCACACTTCACCGAGGCGTTATGTACAGAGGGGTCAAGAACAAACAACACGAGTAGGAAAGTCTTTTCCCTGACAAAAACACTTCACTTTTCACTCAAAGAGCAAAGTCTAGATTTTTTTACATTAGCTGAAGCCAGTTAAAACTAGAGAAATTGCATATCCTGCAAAAATGTAGTGTGAATACTTATTGCTGAAGAACTTGCTGAAAAACATCCAAAATTAGCTAAAAACATGCTGAAATGTAGCTGAAATTGAAGAACAAGCCTAAGTTAGCAGAAGAAAGCAGAAAGAACACATATTTGCTCAATTAGATTTTAATAAGCAGAAATAATCACCAAAATGAGAAAATTAGCTAAAAAAGCTGAAATTAGCAACAAAAAAAAATAGCTGAAAAGGCAGAAAGAAGCTTAAACTACGAGGAGGAAGTGGAAAGAGTTGAAATGAGCTTAAAAAAAGTGGAATTAGATGAAAAAGTTAAGTTTAGCACAAAACAGCTAAAATGTAGTTAAATAGCAGAAAAAGCTGAAATGAGCTAAAATAAGCAGAAAGAAGTGAATTAGGCTGAAAGTAGCAGAAATGGCCAACAAATACTTGAATTTATCTGAAAACAGCTGAAATTAGCTGAAAAATGCCAAAATGCAAAAAAAAAAAAAAAAAAAGTTAGCTGAAAATGTATAAGAAGCTTAAGTTAGCAGAAGAAAGCAGAAAGAACACATGTTTATCCAATTAGATTGAAAGGAGCAGAAATGAGCACTAAAAAGTGGATATTATCTGGAAAAAAGCTGAAATTAGCAAAGTACAGCTGACAAGTAGCAAAAAAAAAAAATTCTAAAAGCTTATATTACCAGAAGGATGTGGAGAGAGCACATTTTGCTTAATTAGGCTGAAAAAAGTTGAAATGAGTGCAAAAAATGTGGAATTAGCCAGAAAAATTGCATTAAAACAGCTTAATAGTAGCTGAAACAGCAGAAAAAGCTGAAACGTGCAGAAACAAGTTGAAAGGAGCAAAACAAGCTGAAATTAGCAGAAAGAAGTTAGAAGAAGCAGAAAAATGTTGTAGTTATCAGAAAGAATCTGAAATGAGCACAAAACAGCTGACAGTAGCTGGAAAAAAAGCTAAATTTGTACTAGGAAGCTGAAAGAAGCTGAACCAGAACAAAATGTGAAAGGAGCAGTAAAATGTTGTAAACTGATCTAAAGATCTGAAGGATGTAAAATGAGCTCAATTCATTTTCTATGAGAGAAAAAGTGGCAGAAAGGCTAAATATTTCAAAAAGCTAACGTTGTACCAATAACAAGTTATAGCACCCTTCTTCTGAATGAGCTGAACGTTTTATGATTTGTTGAAATAACACAAAAATTGTGAAACGAGAAAGATGCCAAAAAAACGTAAGTAAGAAAAATGGATCACAATAGTGTGGATGCTTCATAAACGTTCACACAATAATAAAAGCAACTCATGTGATCAAGGAACAAGGAGTTCATTTCAGCCTAAATCAACCAAATGATGCACATGCGTAGTAGCATGGAGCTTTTTTTGGTTGAGAAAACCGTGACAAACTAATCAAGCTGTGTCATGCAAAAGCACATAAGTTTCATATTAGATAATGTAGCGTTCTTACACACAGGTATGTTATTTTTGAGAAAGAGTTGTACAAGCCTGAAAAACAACAAAAATGGGCCTTCGTTTGGCTAGCCATCAGTCTAACCTGAACAAAGACTTCTTCCCTGTTCCTCATACACTCACCTTTATGATATCATGACTATATGGTACAAACTATTGATAACTATCAGACAAATTATTACTTTAAAAATCACCAGACTTTCCCTTTAAGATGGCAAAACTTCACCTCAGCCTTTGACTAGCAGTTAACTCATCATGCTGGTCAGAATTAAACATTCACTTTTCTGATCTCATTCAAAAAGCTATCTACAACAGATAAGATATTAACTGGTTATAACTTTACCACAACACTCCACTTCATATAATCTGAACTTTTGTTTTAGTATTTAAAGGTACATTTGATGACTTACTTTTTTCAAATGAAATAAAACAAATTACTTCCTGAATACAATATCAAAGGATATACTTGACTTCCATGGGCTCCAAGTTGATGGGGGGGAATTGTTTGGAGCAGTCGCAGTCTCCTTGCACCACCAGCATCAGCAGGTTGCTTTCTGGTATTTGTTGCACTACAAACATCCTGACAAAAATGCAAACTATGAGCTCACAAACCAAAAGTACACATAAAAAAACCTCAGTGTTAAAACAAGACAATACATTTTATGCTGTATTATTACGGACAAATTTATAGTTAAAAAAAACCCTAAAACTATTCCACCGTATGATTGTAGACAATATTTATAACAACTAGCTGAGCTGTACCACCTTTGTCCTCATGAGGGTGATCACACTCAGACTATGTATTCACCCCCACCCCCTTTGCCTCCCACTGTTTTCCATCTTTCTTCATATGCTCCTCACCCTGTGGATAACTCTGCATACCCCAATCTAATTTTGTCCCTCTCTACTTATTTGCTGACACTCTTGTATAAACAGACAATACTATCAGAGAGCAGAGCAGAGCGAAGCTGTAGAGAATGGATTTTAGAAGACAATTTGATCTAGGCCTCCACTTGCACTGCAATTTGTGTGAGCACAAACGCATAGAGGAGTGTGCTTACTTCTGGCATCGTCCACACTTAATAATGCTGTTGGTCTCTTTCACTGACGGCTCGTAAACAAAGCTGGGGTACTCGGTGTCACACGGCTGCAAGGCGTTCCCTCTTTTCTTTGGTACGTAAGCTACAAGAGACAGAAAGGGTCAGTTCTCGATTGTAAAAAAGGACATTATTGCTGTTCGGCTCTAAACAAATACAACATGGAGTATGTGTTCAAGATGAAATGATTTGAAACCAGACAGAAGAGCCATAATGGTTTATTAAATTTTACACAACTGGTTGTGAATTATGTTTTTTTTTGTGTGTGTAACTGCTTAAAAATTCCATTAGTTTCAATAAAAGCCAAAGCTCGAGTCTTGTTTTGAAGGATTTGGCAGCTGCGTCCTCTCCCGCTGCACAGAAAGGCTTATATAATCGGACGCACTAAATTTAATTCGGCTTGAAACATTCGAAAAACACTAGAGCACACACACGAAACACCAAAACGCAAGAGGGAAAGCCTCCAGAGCACCGTGGGACAGATACTCACAGCCACTGAAGGATGGCTTGGCTGAATGGAGAGATGATGATGACGAAGATGACAGTCAGTGATGGACAGGTGGAGTTACAGGGAGGGTGAATGTGTAATTCATGAACCCACAGAGGCAGACGAAAGGCAAAACGATTAGAGGACAACAGTTATGATTCTATAAAGCCTCTGAGACAGACAATCAATCCCAGACACGACTTAAGCACGTTTGTCAAAACTGCAACATCTTTTTGAGCAGAAACTGTGATGACGATGATGAAATGTGTCACATTGTGATAACGAGAATTACTTGAAGACTTCCTATATTTACTCTAAACCTTAATTTACATTTAAACCCCTTGAGTTTGCATTAAAAACACGGAAGTCTATACTAAAGAATTAGTTCTAAAATAAAAAGCTGCATTCATTTGGGTCGCTTGAAGGTCATAAAATATATAAAACACACAGAAGGACAGAGCGGATACAGGTACACAGAAAAAGTGTCACATTTTAGTTCACTTTGAGCTCACCGTCAGCAAAGTGTTCAGTGTGCCACAAGCTACACATATTGAACTCTAATAGAAACCTATGAGGAAAAGAAGAGAAGAGTGGACAGAGCTGTAACTATGAGTTGCAGTCAGTTCATGAAAATATGGAAAAACCGATACTTTATCTTTGTCAAATGAATAAAATCCCAACTTAACCGGTTATATTTATTACAGGTTTATTGAAAGTTTATATAGCTTGAATTCTAAACAACAGTAAACATTTTCATGCATTTCATCTCTAGAATTTGCTGTGTCTGCAGTCAGAGCTGTAAAACCAATACAGTGACTTTACATTGCTTTGATCATGCAGAGCAGACATTTCTGGTTGCCCCTGGCAACACTTACAGCAGGACGTTGGAGAGGACCCACTTGAAGGTGGAAACCAAACTGTAGAAAGGCTACAGAGACAGAGGGACAGAGGAAATTTATTGTACAACAAATTGGACTACTCCGGGAAAAATCCGGCATAAAAAGTGAATTTATTGCACACGTACGCTGAGAATTGGTCGAGCGCTGCTGACAGAGTGTGAGCTCATCTTACACATGGCCTGATAGTCAAACAAGGAAACTCTGAAGAAACATGAGCAAACACAGAGAAAGCACATAGTGTTGGTCTCTTTTAATGATTGTGCATCATTTTATTAATCCCTCAACCTCCTCCGGGCGCCTTGCAGTCAAGTAATCTATATATATTTTTAAGTAAAACCTTGACCTTTCTGCAGGTTGGACCAACATGACAAAATTATACAAAACAGGTAAAGTGCATGCTACTAAAGTGTTCAAAGACATGTGAAGGTCAAATGCTAAAAAAAAAAAAATGCTTATACAACACACTGTTAAATGAAGCAAGGTGAAATGTTTTAGTTATTTAAAAAAAGCTCACAATAAAAAAGGATTTAAAACATAAAAGCAGAGGAAAACAATCCAGATCTGCCAAACTCAACAAAATGAATTAAATGCATATATCAAAAAGGAAGTAGTCTGAGCATGAATCAGGAACAAAATGATGCAGAAATAATTTAGCATTAGCTGCATAAGAACCTAAAATTGGAACAGCAAATACGAATGCATCCACTGATTAGGAGATCACTTCTTGTGGCACAGCATGAGGTGGAATAATTGCTTTCATTAGCTAGGTTTAAAAAAGATGATGAGCTGTGACACCAGAACAGGATTGCGTAATTCCCCGTCTTATGACAGACACTAAACAACCCAACACAAACACAAATGTCTGGGGCTACCAGTACCAGGTCGTACCTCTTGAACATGCCCATTCTGATCAACGTGGACATCACCGAGTTGTCAGCCTCGCCGAAGAACCTCCCTGCCTGTCAGGAAAGACAAGAGAAATAGAAACACTGTCAGACACCATGGCTGAACAAAAACAAACAATAATAACCTAATAACTGGAACCTGATGGATGTGACCATCCATTATTGTTGGTTTAGTCGTATAAAAACTGGAAACAACCTGACAGACTCTGTCCAAAGACAACAAAATCCACAAATCAAGCTCCTTAATCCTGATTTTTTTAAACACTTTATCACTGTGTTGTCATTACAAAGGTTACAGCTTGTAAAGACTTATTTAACTTTTTGTAAGAATTAGTTGACTAAACTCTTGAACCATTTTTTTACTGTAATTTCCCTCAAACCTACAAATGCATGTGGGAATATTGAAGCTTAAATAAAGTTTAAAAGAAACAAATTATGTATTTTGTCTTTATTGGTTGTTTTAATGATAAGGTCAACCAGACTAATATTACTACCAGCCCCAGAATTTTGCTTAGGTTTTAAAAACAAAACAAATCCCTGTGATGGCAATCTAATAGCTGATTTGAATAAACATGATCAACAATGAAAAGCTGAAATTACAGAGTTAATCACGGTTTCACTCAGATTTTTTTGTTGCAGTTGGAATATTTAGCCCCTTTTGTATTTTAATTGTTTCTTTGTTTAACATATTGAACATTTTCACCGTTTATATTTGATTTTATATGTGGAAAAAGTTTAAAATTTGATATATAATACAAAGCTCTCAACAACCAAGGTCAATCTCATAGTTAAGATCTTATCGTTCCATATTTTCCAAACAGCACTTCCATCAGACTGCAGGTTTACTTGAGGTTCCTACAGGTTCTAAAAGTAGAACGGGAGGCAGAGCTTTCAGTTATCACATTACTCTCTTGTGGAACCACTTCCAGTTTTTTTGTCAATGAGGCTGGCCTGTCTAATTTTAGGACCAAGTTAAAGAATCTCCTCTTTTGATACATCCTAGTTAGGTTTCCTATAGAGTTAGGCTAAAGGCTTAGACTGCAAGAGGACATACAGACCACACCTCCTTTTTCTGCAGCTGTCTTTACTCTCCATATTTGCATTTGTCAGCATTTCTATCATTAGCATTCTCTTTTTGTTTTTCTTCCCCATAGAAACTACACCTGGACCAAGTCCTCCATTTTTTTCTGCGTCTCTTTCCTGTCCAATCAAACTCCAGTAGGTTGAGGTAGATGGGCGCCACACCTGATCCTGGTTCAGCTGGAGGTTTGTTCCTGTGAAAATGGAGTCATTCCTTCCCACTGTCACCAACATGCTGCTCAAGATTAGGGATTGTAATAAAGTGAAGATTAGATGCTACCTGTTGACTTCCTTAGCTTATTTTCACTAATCGGCCTTTCATTATGTATCATATTAGAATGTATACTATTATAAAATAAATTAATTTACAGTTATTTGATTTGAATTTGATTTATTTTTGTTTTGTACTCTTAAAAAGACTTTTGTTGAGAATTAGGGCTGTATAAATTTCTACTAAATCTTAAATGCTCCCAAAATGAAGAGGTTCTTTTTTTTTTAAATCCCAATTTTTTTCCTAAAAGCCTGAAGAAATGCAAGTGCTTCCAAACATTAAATATTTATAAAATGTAAAAATGCAGAAAATATTTAATTGTGTGTTTTTCTACAAGCATTTGTAGGTTACCCCTTCATATTAGACAGTCTTCAGCTCTTGCTGTGTTTAACTTAAAACACATCTGTACTCACTGGCTTTTAATAGAGCATGACAGTGGGCACTACCCCACGATTTTAATGGTTTTAATTCATGTTTTAAATATGTAACCGTTATATTTTTAGAGATGGACACCGTTTTGGACATCAACTCTGGTTGACAGTACAGCTCACAGAATAAAAAATAAGAAACTATATATAATATTATTTACAATGATAAAACTGCATTTTAAAATAATAGGCATATAATTGCAGTAGCTCTCATGAGTTTGTATTGTCTCCTATGATTTAATGAATAGTAAGAGGTTCAAAAGCTTTCAAACAATCAAGTCAACAATTTGACGAGCACTTCAATTTGATCATCTTTATGTGTGTGTGTGTGTGTGTGTGTGTGTGAGAGAGAGAGCTTACATCACTCTGCTCTTTAGAAATTAGGACAAAACCATTATTGTCAATCACGTAGCAGTCAATGTCCTGAAACAAGAGACAGAGAAACCAATTAGCTGTGAAAGCAAAGAGTTACACTGCTAACAAAAACAACACGTAATTTAAATAATCCATCACAAAGTGACCGCTTTTGTGGTTCAAAACAACAGATGTGCTATATTGTGATTTTTGGAGTTCAATAAGACGACTCTTCATTGCGTGGCAGCTATACTCACAAATTTGTCACAGCGAAGAGGACATATCCCTTCCACAGTGGAGCACTAAGAAAACAAAGAGGAAAACATTGTTTGGTGTTTATTCATTTAATTTAGACAAAGAATTGAGTTTAATGTTCAAAACGTATGTGAAAGCGCTGAATGTGAGTGTATGTGAGAAAAGAAGGACATGGGGACATCTTTCCAACACATGCTGCCTGTGTTTGTCTGTGGAGGCGTTGGACTCGAACATGTGCCGCTGTCCACAAGATATTTAAAAAAAAAGTGTCTGTTGTGGCGTAACATTTTTAATTTGCATGAGATGCGACAGGTGTGTCAACCTGCGACCGGCTCGTGAGCTTCTTGTTTGCAAGTCTGAGCCTGTTTTCCTTCCTGCGTGTGTGCGGTTGTGTGAGCGTGTGTAATCTGTTTCATCTGGGGTGTGAAGCTGATATCACAGAGCGCAGAGGGAGCTCAAGATGATCACTTTGGCTCCGTCAGGAAAAACTAAACTGATGTGGTATAGGAGGGGCGTGAAAAACCGTACATACTTACATCTGTGTCGTTTGGCTGAAGAAACAAAGAAAAAAAGGAGAAAAATAGGTGAAATTAGCATATTTTTAAAGATTACATATCACCTGCTGCCTTGCACACCAAACATTTAGACAAAGATCAAGATAAATACATTACTGCTAAGAGCATGTGATGGGTACGACTCTCAGCAACCACCAAACAAAGATTTAGGACATTATTTTTAAAAATGACTGACCTACAGCCATTTTTGTGTTTGCCAAGATCAGTGAGGTGTGGCCGTCATCTTGAATCAGGATGACTCCAAAAGTTAATTATTTGTTGATGCACATCCAATGATTACTTCTTTAGGGTTTAATTAACATCCGTGCACTGGATCATGGAAAATTTTGCTAACAGACAGAGTTGACTCTATCAGTTAATACTAATTTTAAAACCAAGGATAAGTTGGGGATCAGTCTCAGCTACAGTCACACCAAATTTTAGCCCAACATCTGTAAAAGTGACAATTTTTGAGCAATTTTAGCATTTGTTGAGCTTGATTAGCTGTGGGGGCCATCTTGATTCGGAATGATGCCAAAGGTTTATCAGTTATATACGTACATCCCATGTTTATTTTTTTAGATTAATTTTTAGATCTGATATTTTGTTTCTTTAGAATCTAACCAGTGATTCTGCAAATTAGGGGTGCACAATATTATCGGCATGGTATTGGTATCGGCCGATATTAGCATTAAAGTTAAATATTGTACATCGGCCATTCCATCAAAATAACTCACTGATTTAAAAGGCGCTGTTTTTGTATGACAACCCAGTGACAAGGATTCATTCATTCATTCAACCTTTATTTAGACAGGTAAATCCCATTGAGCCTCGAGGACTCATTTACAAGAGAGACCTGATTTCAACAAAGAATGATGACAACAATGGACAACAGCGACAACAATAGACAAAAAAAGGCATACAGATTTTTTTTTATAGATGGCAAAAAAAGTAACAAAAAACAGCTTGATTATAAGGCAAATGTAGAAAACTAAAAACAGGAACATGTCTGCATTGGTCCCTGCCAGGAGTCCAACAGATTCTTAAAGCCACTTAGAGGTCAAGGTCGAGAGCTTCAAATGTTTTTGTAAGATATTCCAGGAAACAGGAGCGGAGTAGGAGAAGGCCCTCTTGCCTAGTTCAGTCCTCACTGAGGGAACACTGCAGGTAATAATGTTCTGAGAGCACACGCTGTAGCTGCACTCATGCAGAGACATATAGGAGGAGATGTATGAAGACAGCAGACCAAGAAGTGATTTAAAGATGAAAATGTACCAGTGAGAGAGTCTGCGTGAAGTTAATGATGTCCAGTTAACCAGTGAATACAGGGTGCAGTGGTGGGTACGATAATCACAGCCAGTTATGTGCACCATGATAGACAGCATCCAACATCTGCAGGGTTCTTGTAGGAGCGTTCATGTAAATAATGTCACCGTAATCAATGGAAGGAAGGAAGGTCACAGATACAAGGTGTTTCCTAGCATTCAGAGTTAGACAGGATCTGTTTCTGAAAAAGAAGAAGGAGGATGCCTGCAGCACCAGCACAACGTGATGACGTCACACGCACCTACTTGATCTGATCACGGCGGAGGGGAAGAAGTCAAAATGTTGGCGGTGTGGAAGTTTTTTTGTTGTTGAGGATGTTGGATTCCTAAGATTTTGGACTACAGTGAGCGTCGCTACATCATCCCCAGTATGAGATATTTTTAAAACGTAATGTAAGCCGTCATTTCCGACGTCATTGAGAAGCTAATAGCCAATAGCACTTGGGTGAATTTTACCAAAGACATTTGGACGTCAAGTGTTAGCCATGTTAGCATGAATATTCTTACGGCACAATGGATAGACAAAAACTTTGAACTTAAAAAGGCTGTCCTTCATGCACAAGAGTGCAGAGGATCCCACACTGCAGCTAGGAACCTGGAACAAGCCTCCACAAGTGAGACATCATCACAGCTGACTAATCTTAATAAATAACATTTAACACTTTTCATTTAATATACGTAAGTTAAAGTGCTATGCGTTAATGAATATATGTCACCAGCTCTGACAGCTGTTGCACAATTTTTGTACCAAATAAGCCTAAATAAGAGGCTATGTTCTGACAAAGGAAAGTGTATAAAAAATATCGGTATCGGTTATCGGACAAATAAGTTTTAACATATCGGCATATCAGATATTAGCCAAAAATCCAATATCATGCATCACTACTGTAAATAAATGGACTTTATGGATTTGAGTTTTTTTCTCAAGAATACTGCATATTTAATCAAAACCCATGTTTTAATATTAAAATCCACCTAATAATGTGCTCTAATACATTTCCAATAGTTTCAAGCATAGTTTGTTACAAACTTGTGTTGTGTCTAAATGGCACACAGAAAATGGACAAAGTGATGTCACAATACTTTAATGCAAGTTTAATGCAAGTTCCACATATAAAAGTTAACTTACTGTGGATCTAATATACAAACATGGAGCAAATTTATGCATCCCCCCCCCCCATTTAGTCAGCATGCATTATTAACTTATTCCCACACATCGATAACTCATGGCCCCCTGATGAAATACTGCAATTTGTTCCAGTGTCATCAAATAGGCAAAAAAAAGCTAATTATTTGCTTCCCCCCTCCACACTAAAGCAACTGTATAAATTATTCAACAGTATAGCTGCAAACTAACTCAAATAGAGTTAGTGACCTTGAATTATTATTAAAAAAAAAGAATGCAGCTGTACTGTTCAGTGTTCACAATGCGAAACTTTATAATCTGCACGTGTCTCTGTTCTGTCTCTCCTGAAGCAGCCATGAGGTAAAACTTGAAAAGTTTTCCTAATGGTCACATTTTATGGCTACGTATGTGGCTTTAGAACAATGAATCATAGAGATTGTGGTCAGGCTAAACAGAGCACGTCGAAGGGTGAATTAAACGATCTATCATCCTTTTCAATCCTATTACAGCAAAGTGTCAGTCCGTCTCTCTGCTTCCCATCGCTGTTTCCAGGAGTGAACGACAATTCAGAAACCAAGAGGACGACGTGTTACTCGCACGCTACAGCTGCGTGGTGAGGCTTTACCAAGGACAAGAAAATTTGAAAGAATAAAAACATGAATCCTTACTAAATGCATGAAGGTACAATTTCATTTGAGACAAATATTTTCAGATTTACCCGCGCTTTATGTTAATTGGCAAATGGTTGCAATCTTGAGAACTATATTTTTATATTTTGAAAAATATATTTTTCCCATTTTGGACCATAAAACAGTCAGTTTTGTAGGATTTATGCAATTAAAAATGCTTAAGTTAAACTGCATTAGATGAGCAGGGAGGTAATAACAAATACAATTAGAAAAATTGCATTTCCTGCAAAAATGCAGTGTGAATGCTTATTGCAGAACTTGCTGGAAAACCAGCTGAAATTAACTAAAAAAAACATGCTGAAATGTAGCTGAAATGAAAGAACAAATTTAAATTAGCAGAAGAAAGCAGAAAGAACACATATTTGCTGAATTAGGTTTAAGTAAGCAAAAATGAGCACAAAAAATTGGAAATCAGCTCAAAAAAGAAGCTAAAATTAGCAAAATAACATCTAAAATGTAGCTGAAAAGGCAAAAAGAAGATTAACCTACAAGAAGGAAGTGGAAAGCGCTGCAATGAGCTAAAAATGTGGAATTAGCTGAAAAAGCTAAAATTTGCATAAAACAGCTAAATAGTAACTGAAGTAGCAGAAAAAGGTGAAACTAGCTGAAAAAAACTGAAAGGAGCATAAAATGCTGAAATTAGCCGAAAGAAGTTAATTAGGCTGAAAGCAGCAGAAATTATCATGAAAAACTTAAATAAATCTGAAAACAGCTAAACTTAGCTAAAAAGGTAGCTGAAAAGGCAGAACAAGCTTAAATTAGCAGAAGAAAGCAGAAAGAACACGTGATTGTTGATGAAAGAAGCAGAAACGAGCACAAAAAGTAGAAATTATCTGAAAAAAGCTGAAATTAGCAACCAAAAAACTGCTAAAAAGTAGTTAAAAAAGCAGAAAGAAGCAAAACTTACCAGAAGGAAGTGGAAAGAGCACATTTTTGCAGAATTATGATAGGTTGAAAAAAGTTGAAATGAGTGCAAAAAATGTGTAATTAGCTGAAAAAGCTAAAATTTGCATAAAACAGTTATATAGTAGCTGAAATAGTAGAAAAAGTTGAAACTTGCAGAAATAAGCCAAAAGGAACATAGCAAGCTGAAATTAGCATAAATAAGTTAGAAGAAGCAGAAACATGCTGTAGTTAGTAGAACTATTCTGAAAGGAGCAAAAAACAGCGGAAAAAACAGCTGAAAGTTGCAAAAAAAGTTTACATTTTGAACAAGGAAGCTGAAAGAAGCTGGACCAGAACAAAATGTGACAGGAGCAGTAAAAGGTTGTAAAGCGATCTAAAGATCTGAAGGATGTAAAATGAGCTCAATTCATTTCCTATGAGAAAAGAAAAATGGCAGAAAAGGCTAAATATTTCTAAAAGTTAAAGTTGTACCAATACCAAAGTCATAGCTCCTGAACGAGCTGAACGTTTTGATATATGATCTGCTGAAATAGCTTGAAAACTGCGGGATGAGAATCATGCCGAAAAACATACGGAAGAAAAATGGACCACAATAGTGTGAATACTACATAAGCATTCACACAACTAGAGATTTTAAAAAGGAGGATATCACAAACACAAAACCTCTGAATCCTGTCTGTGAGATAAACAGCTTGCCAAAATGAGCGTGGCAAAAAATATGTCATCTTCTGACTCACATTATCATACCTTCACAAGCCCTCACAGCTTCTGCGCTCACTGTCAGACAAAATATCTTAGCTACAGACTGAGAGATATCACAGAATTCAACCTGCTAACATATATAACAGTTTCTCCATGGGGAAATACATTTTACAGCTGTGGTCAGGAGCTTATATACATCATCATGGGTACAAGTGATATATTATTTTGGGCTTTTAATATTTTATTTAAACTGTTCTTTTCCAGGTTTGCAGGAATTTACAACATTTAACATCTATGGGTTTAAAAAACAAGAATTTTGTGCACAAGTTGGAATTTAATGTGGATTATCTCCACTCCAAACAGGGTCAAGGTTATACATACAGGCTTAAATATAGGCATCAACAAGCTTCTGGCACAATTCTGGCAGGGTATCTGACCACTCTTCTAGGCAGAATTGGGAGAGTTCATTTAACTGGTTGGTTTTCTGGCACAGACCCAGGTTTTAGTCATAGTCAATGACGCTTAGTGAAGGCCATTCCAGAATCTTAATGGGAGCCCAATTGAATCTATCAGAAACCAGCTATTGCTGTTACTGTCCTGAGCACCCAAATGTGTCCAAGTTTCAACCATCTAGCAGATGATTTAGGGAGAAACTGAAGAATTTGGAGGTAGTCCTCACTCATTATTCCACCCACTTGGTGCATTAAACCAGTATCACAGTATGATGCGGCCACCACCGTGCTCAAAATACAGTGTTCTTAGGCTTTAAAGCCTTACTTTGACCTGACCAGTAAACTTGTCTCCAGGAGGCACTTAGTTTGTCCATTGAGCTTCAGTCCATGGTGATATAAAACTGACTTCACTGAGGACAGTGTTGTGGAACCCATGTTCCAGTTTATATAGCTCAAGCTTTGGTTTCTGGGTTGTTTTTGAGCACCCTGACCAGAATCCTCTCCTCCTTAGATCGTCACTTGGTTCCTTAGACTCTCTCATTGTGCTGTGTTTTAGTCAATCTAATGAGTGCTGTTCAACAAATCATATGCTGGCAAAGAGAAACTAACAGCTGCAGTCAACCACGATCACTAATGGGAAGTTAAATCACTGTAGAACCTTCAGAACAACCAAGTAAAAAACGAGGTCACTATGCATATATAACGGAGCCTTTATGCAGAATGTTGACTGCGTAGTTTAAAGAAAATCCACAATAAATGCTAAAATTTTTGCACCTTGTTTTAAAAAAAAAAGTATAATCATTCCACTCTGGAACAAAAACAGTTAAAAAGAAACATTAAATAATATGGCATTTATGCCCATGATGAGTGTATTTAAACTTCTGACTACACATGTAAGCCATTTTCGTCAGCTGATGCAGGTCTAGCTGAACCTTAACAAACAAGATGACTGGGTTACCCTCTTTGGTAGAACTCTGCTCTCTGGATTAACTTGTGTCTTTTTTGTTCTTCACATCGACGATCCATTAAAAGCCAACTCATCTTCTGTTGAAGATTGGCAGAATAAAATAAACCATGACGAAGAAGAGCAGTTAAAGACCAAAGACTCTTGCACACACACTCATGGATGCACGCATATGATCGCCAAATGAGCCTATACAGAAATCCCATGAAATAAAGATCAAGAACATGGCAGGGAGATAAGACGATTACGTAAGCTAGCTTAAAAGAAGAGAGAGAGGGCGGAAAAGCTGAGAAGACGACTAGATGAGAAAGCATGAAAAAAATAAATAGGGAAAAACTGAGGAGTAAAAATAAAAAGAGCTTGCAGTGATAACGAATATGAATAACTTTGTGCTCTGCAGAACTTTAATGGATAACAAGTCCACAACAAGTTCTATTAATGAACTCCAAGGGTGTGGACGTGGAGATGCCAGATGTGGTCACAGATGGTGGTGCATATTGTCTCTGTCAACCTGACACACATTAACACCAACGGACACTGATGAAAAATGCTCTCTTCCTCACACACATAAATGAAACCTGCAAACACACACCCACACGGGGCTTAGCTGTGGTAGCTATCCATCACCTAATGGCCAGAGGTTTGAAATGGTCTTTTAACAGCTGTCATTTAAAGCCATGGGAGCAGAGGGGGTGAGGGGTGGGCGAAGGACCTGGCCATCAAACACCTGCTACAGCCAAAGAGTTACACCAAATTAAACAGGCTGTTTTTTGCTTTTGTAAGGTGTGGAAGGTTGCTCACACTTTTCACGCTGCACTAGATATGCACTAATAACTCCAGTGTTGACGTTTGATCTTTCACTGTGATGTTAAAGGCGCGGTATGAGGAGTGATCTAGAAAAGATTGCATTAAGCCTTGGATTAAACTAAAGCCAGATGTTATAATTATCAGTTAATGGAGCAGAAAACGCCTTCGTCTACTAGTATATGATGTCAAATGACAGTGTCTAAAGGGGCTGTTTGACTGTGGGAAAGATTCAGAAGTTGAACAACTCAAACCGTTTGTTACTCTTGTGGTCAAGACATTTAACAGCTTTATACTCACTTGTTGGACCTTTACAATCAGAATTTAAAAAAAAGAACTTAAGAGTGAAAGCCACTTACAAATGACTAAAAAAATCAAATTGTTCTAGTTAGAAAAAAGCAATTCAAGAGAGAATTCTTGTAAACATTTGATAAAACAGCACTTAAATCTTAGATGCAATTGGAAAAATAATGATCAGATGTGGAAAAAAATATATATTAATAATAATTTTAGATTCATATGAAATGAAGTAAAGGCTTTTATTAAACTAAAATCTGTCCATTCATCCATTACCGGCTTTTCCTTTCCGGGTCACGGGGGTTGCTGAAACCCAGGTTCAGCGGTCACTGTACGAGACACAGGGTACACCCTAGACAAGTCTCATGTCCATCACAGGGACACAGAGGGACAAACGAGACAAACAACCACGCACACTTGAAAATTTAGTTACTTATGAACCTAGCATGATGTAACACTTTAACTGTGATTATGTTTAATGTCAAATTTATTCATGACATTTACTCTAACACAATGACAACACTTGAACAGTGCAAATTTGTAAATTTTCCCAAACTAACCTCAACGGCATGCGTGATGTCATAACATTGTGCTGCCGCTGCAGGCATCCTTGTCACTGGGTTGTCATACAAAAACAGTGCCTAATGCATATATATATATATATATATATATATATATATATATATATATATATATATATATATACAGGTCCTTCTAAAAAAATTAGCATATTGTGATAAAGGTCATTATTTTCCATAATGTAATGATAAAAATGAAACTTTCATATATTTCAGATTCATTTCACACCAACTGAAATATTTCAGGTCTTTAATTGTTTTAATACTGATGATTATGGCATACAGCTCATCCATCCATCCATCCATCCATCCATCCATTATCTTTACCCGCTTATATGGCTAGTATCGTCCGATACCGATATCATTTCGATAATATTGTGCATCCCTAACCTGGACAAAACCAATGTGTGCACAAGAACATGCAAACTCCACACACAAAGCACCCTGACCAAGAGGAAATCCTGCGACCTTCCCAATGTGAAGTGACAACTCTAACCACTGTTCCACAGTTCACCATGCTGTCCCACTAAATATGGTATTGTGTGCATTATACAACTATTCTCCACTACTACACTTACGCATATATGTCAAACATTTCTCATTTGTGCCACTACAATGAACATATTTTTATGACGTAAACAGTTTAAATCTGGCGTAGAGAAAATAAAACAATAATCATTCAATGTTTAAATTTCAAAACCAAGCAGAATAACTCTCGACTTTTAGAAATCTACTACTGGTAAGTATCTTAAAATGCAAATAAAAGATTCTGAAATGTACTGTTACAATAATGCAGCTTTAAATAATTTATATCTACAACCTATAGATTTTTTTGTGGGATTAGGGGTGCTTTCACACACATTTACCTCATGGTTTGAGCTATGTTTATCCTCCATTAATGTAGGATGTGGTAGGACAGAACAAAGTAACTTGAAATAGTAAAACTTTTAATCATGAGCTCTCTCTTTGCATTACAATGTTTGCAATATTACGGCTAAAAGATACTGAGCATGGCTTTTAAGATCAAAAATTAAATATAAAAAAAATCTGGGATTTTATTCATTTGACATAGTACACACTGTCCATGACTTAAATATGCAAAAGTGGAGATCAAAATGCTAAACAAGGTGAAAAATGTATGAATTTTAATTTTGCTCAATGTCTTGCTCAGAGGGGCATCTAATATCATTAAAATTTAAAATAAAATCACAATACATGATGTTAAGAAAAATGAAATAAAATGAGTTATACAGTGAGGTGTGGTAGATGGTTAAAAAAAAACCTGAACTGTGATATCTGCTACATATTCACGCTAAGAAGATACTGTGTAGAAGATTCATTTGAGTTTTTGTTGTTTTACCTGAGCTGCGATGGCCCAAAATTTGGACTCAATCACCTCCAGAGTCATCTGAACCCCAACAGCTGTGATGAGACAGAAACAGAAACAAAGACAGAGAGAATCTCACATAAGTCCAATCAAATGTGATGCAAAAATACCCAAACTGGATTCATTTTCATTCAGTAAAATTGAGGTTCCTTAAATGAAACAGTAACTTATTTCTAATAAAACATCCTGAAGATGTTATTCTCTCTACAGAACATCAGATAAAGATGTTTGTTAATATCTCTTGATTCTCTGAAAAACAGACAAGATGTCCTATACTCAGTCAGTGGCAACAAATTTACCAATAAATGAATTGAAGTAGACAAAAACAAGGCTGCAGGGCTGGATGATGCAGGGAGGAATACAGTGCAGCTCCTTCAGGGTTACCATGGACATTCTGGCTGCTTTCTGGATTAATACTTTTTTTGATCAGCCTGTCACTTTAGGTGAACGGTCATGTTTTGGTAGATTTGTGTCCCTGTTATGTAATATTTAAATCTTTGAAGGACGCATTAAACATAGCTCCATGGAGATATTATTTTCTAATCCAACCCTGTGTTAAACTTCTCAACTTTATCTCTGATCTGAAATGACAGTGTCCTGGAGAACCCTCTTGTCCGGCTGAGACTCACACTGCGAGGTACATCAGAGATTCGTGGGAGTTTGGCAGCTGATGCGCCTCTCAGTCCTGTCTCAGGAGGACACTGAAGACGTTTATATATTTGGATTATGATAGCAGGGGTTCTGCTCTTTGGCATCGGCGGGGCTCTCTCATCAACTTTTGAAGAAGACTTCGACAGCAGTTTCGGCCATGGCAAAGCTTCCGAGTCAGTGCTATGAGTACTCAAAATCAGCTGATTTAAGAGCTAAACTGTAATATGGAGGCAATTTGTGTGAATTGCAGGCCACTTGCAGCTCCTAGGACTCGTCAACACATTGGGATCAACCCTGGAGAGAGCTCATAACACAGATCAGTGGAGTGGAAATACCCATAAATTTGGCCATTTTGGACTGGAAAGTTCCAGCAGGATTCAAGGCTGACGAGAAAAAAAAACTGTCTGCCTGAAGAAAAATAAACAATTGTGGCTTATAACAACAACAACAACAACAACAACAACAACAACAACAACAACAACAACAACAACAACAACAACAACAA